TATATATATATATATATTCTGTTATCATGTTTCTTTGTTTTCAGAGAAGGAGGAGAGAATCGCTAAAGAAAAAGAGCTTGGCATTTATAAGGAGCAGAAGGTAAGACTTCCTTCCTGTGTAATCCTTTGTTACCTCTTTATGGTAAAATGTTCTAGTTTGTGCGTTGGTTATGGTTTATTTCATTTCAAAGTAAAACACTTTAAAGGTAAGTCTGCCAAATCGAATTGTTTGTAGTGAATGATGGAATGGTAAATCTGTACTTTCTTATGTCTCTGTAGTGCGAGAATGGAGGGTTTAAAGCCAGGGAACCCAACCGGCACAGAACAAAAAAATACATTCCGTCATATAGAGGTGTATGGGGGAAAATAAAAAAGCTTTAGCATAGGTTTAGATAGAACTCCAAAATAAATATTAATCTATCTTGTCTGCCATGTATATCATAACCACTTTTCTAGCTCCCTCCTTGTGCCAAAGTCAATACACACACACACAGACACTTGCAAACCCTCCTGAAATGATGGCAGTGGTACACACCTAGTGGGTGACCATAGGAAAAAATATAGCTGCTCATGTATAACTTTTTTAGTCATCTGTGCTACCAGCCTTCAGATTGGACACTGAAGAAGCCATAGTAATTGGTGGGTTAACTTCTGCGCTCTTCTCCCTGTTGTACCAGCTGGGTTAAAAAAATAAATTTATTGATTTATTTCTTTTAAGTGAAAGTAGTAATAAATCCACTTTTTCTAAAAGAAAAAAAAATGAATTCTACAAAACAACTAAACATTCCTCAGTACTTTTTCTTTTAATGTGTGCAGAAACACATTCTTAACTGTTCAGTGCTGCAGTTCGGAGTTCCACAGTCCTGCTTTCTCCTACTTATGGGTAGGGGAACACATGCCCTTCACATGCTCAGTTCATTACTCACAGTGCATGCTCAAGCCGCTGTGAATCATTCCCTGGGAGGATGGGGAAAAGGGAAGGGGCTTTGGGCCACAACTGTTATTTTTAATGCAAGATAGAGAATGCTCTGTATTGGCAGCTGGGATCACGCATGCAAAGGTGGCTCTATGGTACCCTGTAAGGGGATGGAACCACCCAATAACAGCACTCAGTGAAGGGGAAGACAAGGACTTGCAAACAGACCAACACTTAGCATTTTTGCATGTCTGTTGTTAATCTAAGTGCTGAGGTCTGCAGTATTATTATTATACAGGATTTATATAGCGCCAACAGTTTGCGCAGCGCTTTACAATATAAGGAAGACATTACAATTCAAGACAAGATGGTAAGGAGGGCCCTGTCTCTGAGGGCTTACAATCTAAAAGGGAGTGGCCAGTGATACATGAGGAGGTTTAATAACATTTTATTTAAAACTCGATTACAAGGTTGTTGTTTTTTGGGGGGGGGGTTTTTGGAGTTCAGTGTTCATAAAAGAGATTGGAAGCAACTGAACTGAACAACTGAAGTTATGGTAATGCCGCAGCAGTTTTGAGCAGGCTGGTACACAGATTGGTAGGATGGTAAATAGGAAAGTGTAAACCATTATCACGTCATTCTGGCAGGACAAATGTCTGTCATGGTTGAGGCCCTTGTGAAGACTCACTGTTACACACACACTTTGTCCCTGGAGAGCCCCAGACACACAGGCTTCGGCTATCATCATCTTTTGTCTTTCTTTTTTCTAGCTAGATGACATGCACATTTATGTTCACAAATAACGCAAGGATGGTAATCTCTTCCTTAAAGTGGACCTAGAATCCAATATGTTTTTTTCATGTGTAAGCAACACTAGACTCGGGAGTTAAATCTTAAAAATGCATTAAAGTACCTTAACTATTATCATAAATGTATCTTATTTGTGTATCGCTCGGCTGTAGATCCTCCAATCATCTCTGAATTGGTGCTGACACTGTCCTTCCTTCTGGAGGGGGGCTATTTTTGTTCCCCATGGTCCCTGTGTGTGTTGTACAGTAGTCACCGCTCCAAGCTCACTCCCGTGCTGGACCACAATCTCATGTTTAGATAGCTAATTTGTATTGAAGTTATAGTTCTATCACATGAGTGAGCTTGGAGCGGTGACTACAACACACACAGGGACCATGGGGAACAGAAGTAGTCACCCTCCAGAAGGAAGGACAGTGTCAGCACCAATTCAGAGATGATTTGAGGATCTATAGCTGAGTGATACACAATTAAGATACATTTTTGTTAATAATTAAGGTACTTGAATGTATTTTTAAGATGTAACTCCTGAGTTTAGTGTCACTTTAAGCTCATACATGATGAGCAATGTGTAAGTCTATATATTACCTCTCACATAGATCACAGAACTCCCTGACAATGCCTTCATTAGCTCCAGAAGGACAGAGCCATCTTTGTTCAGGCACTATCTAAGTTTTTATCTGCTCCCTGGACTGAGATGCTGGCAGAGATAACACAATAGTGTACATCCTGGTTCCTTTGCAGTTCTTGGCTGATTCACAAATGTCTGACACATATCAGACACCTCTGCAGCCTCTCACCTTGAGGTTCAGTCAAATGACTATGCCTAGGCTGCATTGATTTAATCCGTATTAATTGGAGGCTGCCGTATTTCTTTATAAATGATCTTACTTATTTTTGAATTGTGTGTTTTTTGGCTTCTTTCCTTTGCAGTTCATTTCTCAGTGTCCTGCAAAGCTGCCAGCCACAACCTCGGTCCCTAATAATAAAAAATAATATTGTTTTGTTGTATTTTGTTCGGCAGCTTTAAAGCTGTGTGCCTGCTAGGAGTCCCCTTTCTTGCAGAGTGCTCAGTTCCTGCTCTGGGCTTTGAAGAGTGGGATCTGGAATTTCTGACCTAAAGGATACTGAGACTTCAAAGGCAGAGGAGGTCAGGATGTAGAAAAAAGAGAAAATGGGAGCTGATAGAGTGAGGCGGGGCTGCTGGACTCAACAACCTTAAAAATAGGAAACTCTAGTATGTTTTATTTTCTGTTCTCAATGTAGGAACAACTCGAACCCACTGCTTGTTCTCACTCTGCCAACCATCTTGTAAAACATCCAGAGGCTTAACAAGGCATGTTGTTATAAACACGTGTACGTAATTCAAAGTAGTGCTTTTTTTTAAAGGATTAGGCTTGCCATAGATGGGCAAATAGCTCCCCAAAACTAGCCTATGCCTGATTAACCCCGACCTTACCGCTGAGAACCTTATAATGCACAGATTTTTAAACAATTTATAAGGGCCCGTTCACAGCAGCCTCAGCAAGTTCCGAGGCCGATTGTGGCCGGAACGCACTGGATCACATTCCAGCCGCCTCACTTTGTTTTGGGGCAGGAGGGGGCGTGGCGGTGCATTAAACTCAATGGTACTGTAGCCACGCCCTCCAGCCGCAATACGATCGGGCGCATGGGAACGCGTGGCACATTAGTGCCTGCGTTCCGGTCCGGTGCAGTCGGAATGCGATCCAGTGTTCTCTGGCCACAATTGGGCCAGAATGCACTGAGGCTGGTGTGAACTGGTCCTAATTGTTACTTAACTGCAGCAGAGAAAATAAATCAGGTGTCCTGTCCTGCTAGACAGGGCTGCACTTTGTGGCAGAGCTGTCTAAATCTTAAAACTGTATGGACAGTAATACAAATCATTTGTCAGGTAAAACAGCTCCCATGTAGGTATTTTCACCTGTGTTTTTGGCCTGGAGATCAGTATTAAGGAAGCGATCTCAGCACTTAAGTTGCCAGCTCAGTTCTCTGCAGTAGGAGTAAGACCCCAGGAATAAATTGGATGGGGGTGGGGGGCAAAGCAGGGAACCATAGCATAGAGATCTCATCAGAAGCTCAAAAAAGTTGTTGGATGATTTAGCTACTTATCTACTGAAATGGCAGGAAATACAAGACTTATGAAGTAGTGTTATTATTCCAACTACTACAGGTATTTATATAGCGCGGACAATTTTGCACAGCGCTTTGCATAGCGGCACATGCACATCAGTCCCTGCCCTCAAAGATACTTACAATCTAAGGTCCCTATCTCACATGCATATATACGGGGCCAAATTAGACAGGAGCCAAATAAGCTTCCAGCTTGTCTTTGGAGTGTGGGATGAAACCCATGCAAGCACAGGGAGAACATGCAAACTCCTTGTAGATAGTTACCTGGCTGGGATTCGAACCGGGGACCCCCAGTGCTGCAAGGCAGATGTGCTAACCACTACCTCTTGTCCAGTAATCTTGTTGTAGGAAGCAATACAAATATATGGCTAAATATTCTCAAGAACTGCAACCAGTTTGATCAATTTAAGTGTTATTGGGCTCAGTAAGAGTTCACTTATGAGTCATAGTCAACATTAGTAATTGCTTTCTCGCATGTTCTGATTGGAACTGCAGTTGTTTCCATCTCTTTATAGAACAAGGAAAGATATCTTCACATTACATGTGGCAAACATTGGCCTCATCTGGAAGAAGTCAAGGTCAACCTTGGGGGAGCCTTGGGGATGACATTCTAAATACACTGCCTTGGGGATGACATTCTAAATACAAACAGTATATTCCTTTATATACATTCTTCCTATGACAGCCATCCCTTTGAACACATTTCTATATACAATAAACCATATATTTTAAATAGCACTTTAACGTACTAACGCAACTGCATTGCACTGCAAAACAATGAGCGTTAACACGCTACCATACATGATGGAGCGCTGTGTTGGGAAAAATGGTGCAGTTCAGTTTTGTCTGCCATAATCCACCTCCAAGGAGTGATTGGTGGCCTTAATATCAGCCACCTGGGGATAGCAGTTTCACGGATCTATGACTTGCTTAATGTGTCTCTAATAATAATATAGATGTTTAAATGTTGCTGAAATAGTCATAATATCCACTTTGCACCTTTGCAGTTTTCTCTCCCGTTCATTGAAGGACACAGGGCAACAGATCGTAGATCCTGAATGGTAGGGTATATCGCCACCTGCAGGAGTAGGACGCTAGGCACATAACAAAAAGACAAGACAGCCTAGGGGCGGCCCCTGCTGGTGGCCCAACCCCTCACTTGCTGACAAGTCTCCAGTTTTTTTGCCTAGCGTCAGGAGTAAGGAGCTAAAAAATTACCAGTCGAC